TCATAACAGATAAATGTTCATTTAAAATAGAAAGATTAGTAAAAATTAACAAAACCTAATTTTTTAATGTAAGTGTATGAAATTGCATTTTTAAACGTAGTTTTTAGTTCTGATTAACTTTTCTTTATAACAATTTTCGATATTGTCAAATATAAAGGTACTTTACTCTTGCGCCAAATTCATATTTTTTGACATACCCCGTATACGACTAAAAAAATTAATATTTGTGGGTTGCATTTTAAGTTTTACACCATGCAGAACTTTTTATAAAGAATAACTTTTTTTCCTAAAATTAATAATAAAAAACAGAACTGTTAATTAGTAAATTTTGTCTCTCAATACAAATTTATAAATGTAAACCAACAATTTTGAGTTGTGAAAATTTTAAACCAACAAAATTTTAAATTAAAAAAATATTTAATAAATGTTAAATCGACTAACCCAAATTTTCAGCACTATATAGTAATATATTCGATAAATTAGGCGTAGTTTTGCGAATTAAAATGAAATTTTATTGCCTCAATTCGTTCTCTTAAACAATCGAGTTCAAAAATCAACCGCTGGAGCGCCGTTTTGCGAAAGAATCCTCAAACTGGTTTTGCGGGGCACAGAAAGGGAATTTCCGCCCGTTGTCGTATTCCATCTTAACTTTTGTTGCTATACCTACACTCGTATAATGACCGGCAAAAGTATAAAACAAATTATTAAAAGTGAATGATGTTTAATAGTTTTTATTAGAAGACTTTTGATAAAATTAAAAAGTGTTTACAGAACTTTCTCAAAATATTTAATTTCAAGGTCAAATTTTTTAGTTTATTATTGTTTTTTGTTATAACATATAATATACTGTCTGTCCACTCTAAGTTGGCGGAACTAAGGAATTTTGTAGTTTAGATATTAAAGAATTGTCGTACTGTGTGCTTTTAAAACAGATTTTATATTATAAATAATACTAGTACATATTATATACTAGTATTATTTATAATATAAAATCTGTTTTTAAAGCACACAGTACGACAATTCTTTAATATCTAAACAACAAAATTCCTTAGTTCAGCCAACTTAGAGTGGACAGACAGTAGGTATTATCTAATTCAAAACAAATATAGTAGATGCAAAAACTTATTATTATTATTATCAAACACAAGTAGCACGATTATTGTAAACACAAAAAGTTTAATGTAGACCAGCCATATGTCCGCTAGAGTTGCTAGATCTTGCACTTCATTACCCGAAGACATATGCCCGCATTCTTGATTTTTTTTGTATGTATTTATCTGTGGCCTTCCCATTTCACTTCTTCACTTAAATATTTTATTCTATTTTCCATTCATGATCACATGTTGTATCCGCTCCATATACAAAATCAAAAGTGTGTAGCTGTATTGAAAAATTTATATTTAGCCACGGTTGTTTTACTTTTAAAACCTTTAAGTGCTTAAAATTATGCACAATTTTCTTAGAATGAGATAATATGTATTATAATAGATGATTAACCGGATTTGATTAGCTTATCTAAAGAGGATATGGCTTGATATTAAAGCAAAATTAAAAAAAAAATTTAATTAATATACAATTAAAAAGGAGGACAAACAAAATTATTACAAGTTTAGAGAGAATGTAACAGTTGTTCACTACAAACACTGCAAAAGCAACAAAACGGTAAAATATGTTAAGTGGCCTTCGAAAAAAATGTTAATCATGAATCATCCCGAACAATATTGAAAATCTATAAAAAATTGTTTTGCTAGTAAAATATACATTTATTAGCAATAAATCAAGAAATATTACGCATAAAAAAATCATATTGTGTGCAATACTAAATAACTAATTTGTTTTAAAAACATTCACAAACTTTTAAGCTGCCTACACACTTAGCATGCGTTCGCTTAGTGTGTACGCAGCTTTATTGGTAAATTTAAAAATATACAAACTAATGAATATTAAATTATGAAAATAATTGCCAAAAATAGGTTTTACGTAAAATTAGGATGGTATGTGGGCCATCATAGGAAAAATTAAGATATATGCAGTAGAGTAACACGCTTTTTAAACAGCCAGATCGCTTACCGTAAAAATAAAACAAAAGAAACTAATATTTGGTTAAGTAGATTCAAAGTAATTAAGTTGGAGTAAATAAAATTAAATATTTTACTGCGTTTTCATTGAACCCATTTAAGGCCATAAAAAGTGTGTCTAGGCAACGCAGGATTTTTATGGAGATCAACGTCGTTATCCAATATACGACGAATTTAACTTCAAATTTATTCCATCTACTTCAATAAATAAAATCCATAAACTTAGCAAATTAGTTGTGAACTAGGCAAAGCTTCGCTCGTGCCTAATTAAAACTTGTTGTATCAATAAAACTGTTTATCATTCAAAAAGTGTAATTAATAAATTATAAACTGCACCAAAATGCGCACTCTTTACGAATACGTTATCAGTGCTTTTACTTTTGTTGTTGCTACAAAACACGTAGGTGAAAAATTAAAACGAAAGTGCGAATCGTTGAATTTAAATTTGCCTTGAAACTAAAATATCGCAGCACTATCTATTTATTGATCCTTAATGTTAGCATCAGAAGTGGGATATACACCCTGTATATCGAATTTCATCGAAAAATTTTAAGGGGCGATTCTACGCCCTAAAATAAGAAAAAAAGCTCTCATGAAGATTTTTTCAAAAATGCTTTATAAGGGAGCTACGTCTCTTTTTATTTTTTATCTCATATTCTTAGGATTTTTATTATGTACTAAAATACTGGTGATTTCATAATTTCTAAATATTTTTTAACATAAAATTTGCATGTGACAAATTACAGACGTTTCAGCGTTTTAAACGATTAGTCATATTTAATTTGAAGGATTGTTTTGAATTTATTTGAGTAAAATGGTTGTTTAATTTTTTCTTAATGAATAAAAGTTTTATTATTGTGTTTTAACAATGAGTAGTTGATGACAAGAGGTTATCTATCAAGCATAATATTTATTAATCATAAAACAATTCATAAATAACTGCATTATGTGTGTTAAAAAAATAGTCGTAGTTGCAAAATTATATTTACTTGGTCATATTTTATAAAAAAATATAATTTTTTCAAGTTCGTCATTTTTTATTTATTATTATTTTACAAGAAGTGCACTTTATTTTAAGGGAAAAAATCAAAAAATGTTTAGGTAGGCGTCTTTGGCTAATTAAAAATTAGAAAAAGAAGTGAAGTGTCTCAAAACTTATTAGTATTATTTCTGCATGTTAATTATACGAGATTTATATTAAATATTTACCCAGATTTAAAAACATCGATTAAAAAGAAAAACAAAGAGCTATTTTGTCTCGTCGGTAACGCGTCCCTTATTACGTTTTACAATTTTACGCTAGATTTTTCAATCAAATCATTTTTAAAAACAGGACAAATGTAAATCACTTTAAAGAAACTAACACCAAGTATTAAATAAATTACATTTTATTTAAAAACAATTTGGTTTTAAAGATCCAGCCTTTGGGTAACAGACTGTCTGCTTTGATCGCATCCTGTCGGTAACGATAACTGTAATTTCGCCTAAAATCCGCCAGGATACGTAATACCTGTCATTTGTTGGTTAGTGTGCTAGAGTTAGTGTTTATGTGTCATTCAAACCAGGTAAGTTTTTCTGTTTATGCATTAAAAAAATATATTTAGGCTTGTTTGCATAAAAACACGACCGTATTTTTTTACGATGTCTAATCGGTAACTGTTCTAGCGGTAAAATTTTGATGTCGATATGAGATTTGTTACATTTTTCTGATGTATAACACCAATATTTGCAATTTTGATTATAATGGTATTTACTATAAGTATTTTTTTAAACATATATTTTGATTATTATTCCATTTACAGAACCTTTATTCCCGACAAACTATACTGTTACCGACTAGACATAATTGAGATCAGAAGACAACAATTATCAACATAACAAAAAACTACCTTTCCTTGATCTCAAAGATAAGCTTTATTATGTTGCGAAATCTTTATTTTAGAATATTAAAAAGTTTAATGGACAAAAAGCAACATTTTAGTTTTTTAATTGTTGTAGGTCGTTTTCCAAAGATTTTTTGATTTTCACCCTTAAACATTGTATGACATTTGACAACTGTCAAATTGTCGTTTGAAATATCGCGCTGCCAACTTAATAAACATAAAAAAATGACAGTTTTAAACCTTAATTTTGCCATTATAACAACAAATTTACAATTGATATTGTTACTTATTTAATTTTTTACGTTGTTTTTACTTTTTAATGTTAGGTACTTTAATTTGCAATAAAGTATAAATTAGTTAATTAAAAAACAACGCTTTATTTTTACTACATTGGCACCGCTGTCATTTATTTATCACTCTTCAAATGAAGACCTTAAACTTCTATTAAAATACTACATTTATATCTTAATGTTTATACTGAGGATTGCAAAGCATCACAAAGATGGGTTAACGCTTTTTTTAGCAGTTTATTGACCTACAAACTCAACAAAAAGCGCAATTAATATGCAACAACCTCAACTTTACGTACCTCATCCCTATCGACTAATTTAACGCTGCCCATAGCCCACATTTTACGGTTTATTTCAGCAGGATAGAAACTGAAAACACTGAGACATAAACTGTTTGGCAAATATTTGTCGAGGGTATTTTTAAAATGTACAAATAGTGCAAATTCTAGAGATGTAACGCTTATTGGACTTGATCCAAATTATTTCGAATTCGTAGGTGTGTATCATACACAGTGCCCCGGTTTTAAAATCAAGCAAATTTTTATTTTTTAAATGAAAATGCTCAGGCATTGGTGAACAAACCAATGTACTTAACTAGGCGCTGTAAAATACATGTTTACGTCTCGTGAAGTCAAAGGCCTTAAGTAAGGAGATACACCCTGTTGCGGGCCGCACAATAGATTCAAGAAGCATTGCCGAGAACCTTGAGATATCACTTAAAACTAGTTGTAACGATGATAAAAACTCACCTTAAGCCTCTAAAAAATGTTCGTTTCAGTTAAAATAATTGACACAGATACACAAAGCACAACGTTTACACCCCGAACAACCAAACTGCACTGAAAATGTAATTCAATCCTGAAAACGAACTATAAATACATTGGTTGGTGTTTCTGCGCATGTCCAGTGGGTATGCAATTTCAATTTTCAATGTTGTTGCACTGAAATTTTACATTCCGACTTGCGATTTTTATTTATAAAAGCTGACTCGGTTTGGCATTATTTTTATGTTTTATGAAACTTCAAATTTTTCGATGACACCTAAATTTTGACATATTTTAACGATGATGACAACACGCATGATTGTGTTGCGAGTTACGCCGCACAGTGGCACAGTTCATTTTTTTTATCTGGACTACAGAACCAAAATTGGTTGCATTGATTAAAACAAACAAAACTGGTTATAAATGTTATTGTGGTTATGTTGAACGGTTGTCAAGTTAAGTCAAGTCGAAAAATGTAATTAATTTGGCTTTGGTGGTGCGTAGATGAGTAAAATCATATAAAAATGTAGTTAAATATAGGTGACTACGGCTTATGAGAGACAAAGTATTCCTAGCGGATAATAATCTTCGCTTTGAAAAGAATTTAAATAAAAGAAATTAAATTTTTTCACAAAAAGGTTGAACGCAACAGGAAATAATAATAATTATTATTATTATTATTATTATTAAATAATAAGGCGATGTACTTTTTCTGTCATTGAGGCATTTGGCATAACTACATCGAAATGAAGTTCTTTTATAAAACTATAGTTTAGAATCTGATATTATTTTTGGCGTAGTTATCTTTTATGTTATATTATATAATAATACTAAATTAAACTGGCATAAGCTACCAACTTAATAAAAAAACACGAGTAGAAATTAAAAAAAATTGATGCTGTCATATATTCAATTTTCGATTCCTTCCCACAGTGCAGAAATATTTAAATTTTCAATTAAAATTATCGAATACAAATACAACTATTTTCACACAATTTTATAGTAAATAAATTCAAAAAGTGTTTATTTATTGAATAAACATACGTTTATAGGTTTATTTTGAATGAAAGTGTCTAAAGCACCCGTGACTTTAGACACCACAACGTCCATTAAATTTTGTTTTTGACATTTATCCGTTTTTGACATTTGTACGTCAACTATGGCAGAAAATTTGCAAAAACGGCCCCCAAAAGGGATTTTGAAAAACTCCAGTAGCTTCGACAAACCCACGTCACATTGTTCCCCCTCTCAGGCAAAGTAAGCGCAAAAAATCTGGCATTTAGGCTTACAAAATGTGCCCACCCCAAAGTTTGCAGGTTATGTTGGAATAATTTTCTTGTATTTTAGGAAAGCCAAGGAGACGAAATGGGACGAGATGAACATAATCGCGACGTACCATCCACCGGACAAAGATTACGGCCATATGAAAGTCGACGAGCCTAAAACCCCTTTCAGTTACGATATAAATGATCAAAGTGGGGTTGACGGGTTAGACGCTACCGAATTGGCGGAAAAGTAAGATTTTAATCCTGTGTAAACCCACCTTAACCTTAATTTCTTTTAGGATAAGGATAGCTGCCAGTCAGCAACCCACAGTGATGACAATACCTGATGAAGAAGAATCGAGCAGTTCTGACGATGAACAAATAACTGAGGAGGCGAAACTGAAGCGGAAAGACTTTCTGGAAAAACGGAAACAGCACTACAACGAAGGCCAAGCCCTGCAGTTGGCAAAACAGCTGCTCGAAGAGGACGACGAGGAAGACGATGCAGGCAGTTCAAAAAAATAATTTGAATGAAGTAAATATAACTAAATGTAACTAAAGTGATACGTTTTTAATGGTCTAGATCGGGAAGACTTGCAGCAAAAGATTGCAGCTTTTTTGGACATGTAAATTAGACAAAATGGAAATAACGTTAAGAAGTAAAAATCTAACAAAACAAATAAATGTATATTTTTAAGTAATATCTGTGGAAAGTAGTGTGTGAATGTGTGTTTGTTTATTGTAAAAATGATAAAAATAGTGGACTGTTTACTATAAAAAGTCACTTTGACATTTAAATAATGATTGCTGTCATCTACATAACCTAAATTATTTGACAGTTGAAAAAAGGAAGTGTATACAGCCACGTCGTTTTTACTAAATAGAAGTGTATAGTGTACAGTTTTATTTAACAAAACTTAAGTTTACATAACCTCCATTATTTAAATGTAAAAGTGGGACTTTTTTATGTGAGCATGGTAGAAATATTTTAAATTATTCAATATAAAAAATAAATATTTTAAAATCTGCACAATAACCCTAACTTGGTAGATATTTTGCATTTTTGTAAATTAATATCAATTATTTATATTATGCTTCCAATACAGATCAGAAATTATTCCTTCTGGTCCCCCCTCCAACGCTTTGAATCGTTTTATCTTGTTTCCTATTGGTCAAACAAAAAATGTAGTTTTACATTTTTAACATATTTAACAAAACGTTAAAAAACAAATTTTCGTTATTTTGTTAATAATATCATGATTTAAGAAATTAGTGGCTGTGCATTAGTATATATTTTGAATTTGTCTGGGATTAGTTATAAAAGTTTTATTAATATTGATATAAATTATCATTTTTGTTTTTGTTATTTTCAGTTATTTAAAAATTAATCGTACTATTCCATATCCACAAATGTTCTTAATGTTAATAATAATAATGCTATTTTTAATTTACAAATTAATGCGTTTAAAATGTAAATAAATGTTATAGAAAATTTAATGTTTATTATTTATGTATGTAGGTATGTGTAAAACCATTAATAGTTTTAAAATTATATAAAATTAATTTTTTTCTTGACTTAATTGCATTCCCAAAGTTCATGTAGGTAAAGTCTTCCATTTAATAAAAATGTGCCATGTTTTAGAAAAATTAAATGCAGAAAAAAATATATGTAATGTTATAGCATGTTTTTAGAGTAGGATATAGTAAAATTTTCAATGGATTTAATGGTATTTTTTTTAAGAATAACAGGATTAAAAAAATATTTTATATAATTTTTTAAAGGATAATAAATTACACATTACATTTATTTTTTGTTTTATTATTTTTTTTACTCCCTTCTTCAGGTATAATATCGCTCTTAACCTCGGGTGCCCTAGCCCTGACCTTGTAGGTTACTATTGATGTTTTGATGTATTTATTGGAATTTCGGAACAATAACAAATATTTTTTATTGTACACAATCATTTCGGCAATAACAGGTTTTGTTATTTACCACACTACAGGGATTAAGGGTATTTAAGACAAAAAATGTAGGTCTTGATATTTTCAACATTTTTATTTACAGGCAAAATTTCTGTATGTCGTCCCTAAAAAGATAGAGGGCGCCATAGACAGAATATTTTTTAACAAAACACCCGATGTTTTTAAATGCTTGGATTATTAAAAACGCTGTTGCTAGTGCACCGCGTGCGGTGTACTATTCTGCACCGCATATTCATATTTGTGGAAACGTCAGTTTACACTATCCTTTTTCTATGGTTTACACGTTTACGGTCATCATTTTAAAAGCCAAAAATGTAACTATATATGTAACTATATATATACGCTAACGTGCCGCGATTCGAAATATTTTAACATATTATGTTAAAGGCACGTTAGTTACGTCATAAACCCAAACCAACCCAAACTCAACAACACAACCCAACCGACCCCGCCCCATTGGCCCCCCCCGCCCCATTAAGCAAAAAACCCAACTAAAATGGGCAAATTTATGTTACGATAAAAATAACACTTTAACAAAGGAACAACAAATTTATGAAATAAAAAAAGTTCGACAACTTCTAGTAGATTTTATGTTACGATAAAACTAAAACAAACCAACCAACCAACCCAACCGAACACTGTTTAACAAAGAAACAACAAATTTTTGAAATAAAAAAATAAAAAAAGTTCTTAGTATCGAACCCAGGACCTCTCGCATGCCAGGCGCACGCCCTACCATCTAAGCCATCTAGCTTGTTGTCAAATATTGAACGCTCGGGGAACAAAAACGGATTATAATTATGACGTAATTGGCGGTGTAGAATAGTACACCGCACGCGGTGTACTAGCAACAGCGTATTAAAAAAAGACTTATCTAAACTTTGACCTTGTTTATAAGTATAAAAGATTTTGCCGTTGCCAACAAAAGTCATAAGTTTGTTACCTACAAGTAAAATAACACAACTCAAAAATGAATAACTTTTTAATATGTGTTTTTGCACTTTTATGTGCTACAGCCTACGCTGGGGTAAGATTTTTACATAAACATATAATATAATATTATTTTGTTATTTCAAATATAACACCCCATATATTGTTAATTTTTTAATATCTGTATAATATTCAGACTAAAATTACTATAAAAATTTACATTGGTTAATAATTGCTACAGTAAGACTTGAACCCATATTTCCAGACTCGCATACCCTTGACTTCTGAAGAGAGGACCATGCTAAAATCCAAATTGGAAGAGTGTCAATCCGACCCAAACACCAAAATCCCGAGGGAAATTTCAGAAAATCTTCAACATGGAAAGTGGCCTGAAGACGAGCAACTATTCGCAGGACTTTTGTGTTTTGCCATAAAAACCGACATGATGTCTGAAAATGGAGATTTAAACATACCCCACATCAAAGAAGCATGGGGTCGTCATTATCCAGATGACATTAAGAATTTAGAAGCCTGTATGGTTCAAAAAGAGAATCCCAAAAGAACCGCTTATCATCTGTTAAAATGTAAGCAAAATGTGGTGGGAGTAAGCAATGATGCTCTTAATGTTTTGAATTCGCACTAAAAATGCTACCCAATTGGGTAGACTTAAGTCCATGTGAAAATTAATTAAAATGTATTTTTTAATTAATACATGTTATATTAATAATAAATATGTAGTTTTATTTTGACATTGTATATTATTATATGGTTTATCGGATTGGATAAATCCTTTCCCATAGAAACGATTTTGTTGAATCAATAATTCAAAGTGATCTCTTAAATTTATTTGAAATTAAAACATGAATGATGACCAATTTAGGTTACCAAACATTGGTCTTCAAGAATCGACAAGTCAGTACTTTCATTCTAAAAAGTATACTAAAGAAATCAAAATGTAAGTAGGTAGCAGCAGAGACAATTGTCCCCTTAATAACCCTCTTCATGATTTTTGTTTGTGTATGGTGTGTTGCATAAATAAAGTTTAGTAAATTAAAAACTTTTCCCTATACTTAATTAAAGTTAATAACTTAAAAGATATTTAACAATTTCTAAAATTTTAAACATTATTTTGTATCAAGAAACCTGTGACAGGTAAATTGACGGTATCCATGGTTACCACGTAATCTGTCATTGTTCAAAATTTAAAGGCGTCAATTTTTCAATAACGAATGAAAAACTGTGTATAATTTTTTCTGCAAAACATTTTAAATGTCTAATGAAATAATTATAATCATATACATTTATAAATTATAATCTAAGAATAAAGAATGGTTTAAAAACAAAATAATAATGGAATTTTGCATTGACTTTTTATTTCATCTGACCCCCTGATAACATTGATTGGGAGAAAAACAAAATTACCAAAACACAAATAAGTTGAAAATTTAAATTTAAAGCAGTATATATTTTCTTTAAGCAATTTTTTAATTTTAGTAAAAATGTTGAAATTTTCAACAAAGACAACATCATGGAAATATTCATCAACTATAAAGAAAGACTGGATAAATTAGGTTTGGACTTAAAAAAATCCAGGGCACGTTTTGTGGAAGAATCGGAGAACAGAGATCAAGAAAAGAAAGAGTTGGAAAAATTGGCTCAGGGATTTAGAAATGATTTTATTTTTTTCAATGAGGCAAGTATTTTATTTATTAAATGTAATGTATATTATACAAATGTTTGCTGAATTCACATTTATGGTCACCAATGTAGGCAACCAACATACATTTGAAGATTATAAAACGAGTATACCTACATTTACTTCAATCAAGTTTACAACATTAACGTTATAACAAATTAAATTACATGAGTTCCTTTTCTTTACCAATCGCATGCTGTCTACATTTAAACAACTCATACGCAGTTTTTTCTGCATCTCCGTATTGAAAAATGCATTTTTTCAATTTTTCCAAATCTTCAGTATCGTAATGTTTTGTCCATTTCAACAAAATAACTTCTGGTTTCAACTCACCGTTTTCATCTTGAAAATTCGTTTTTTTGGCTATACAAAACAGGGCTTTTTTCAATTTGGGGTCCTCACTCCATTCACCCCTTCTAATTTTTGTAATTACGGTCCTGGGTACTTTGGTGTCCTCATTTGGTTGACATTCTTTAACCAGGTTTCGTAAAAATAACTTTTCCTCGTTTGTTAGGGGTTTAATTAACTAAAAATGATTTTTAATGTTGGTAATGCCTAATAAAAAAATATTTTATGAAATAACCTTGGCATTTACGATTGAAATTACCACCACCATCACCACAAAAACCACAAACTTCATGTTGGTTGTTTCGACTATTAAATTCGTGTTTAATATTATAAAATTATACAGTATTCTGTTGTTTCTAGATAAATAAAATAACTGTGGCCGATATTGTGATTTGTTTACCTATTAGTCATTAGAAAATATTATTTTAAACTTTGTTTTAATTACTTAAGTAATTAACATCAACAATACCATTAGATAACAATACATACAAATATTTACTTTTTTATCTCAAAAATTGTTTGGGTTTATGTAGACAGAGCCTACTGATTTTTTTATAAGAGATAGGAATAAACACTCTGTATATCCCACTTCTGATGCAAACAAAATTTACTTATTTTAGTTTGTAAAAAGAAACAAGCAAAAGCAAATTAGGACTGCCAAAAATATAAAAGAATTAAATGTTATAAACAACCTCAGAGATATTGAAAATGAAAATATGAAGGAAAAACTGTTAAAAATTAAAAGGGTTATTAAAATGCTCAAACCAAAAGTTAGGGAGTTTAGTATTTATCAGGTAAAATGAATAATTAACGTTTTGCATTGAGTTTATTAAATTTTTTTTTAGAATTTTTTAAATCAAGCGAAGGAAGCGTACCCTAAAGATTTCAAGAGTATAGAAGATTTTCCATATCAATATTTAATTTTACTTAACGCAAATGAATCTCTTATGAATAAGCACACTAAAAATTTTAAAACTCTTCAAGATGCTCACGCGAAATTTGTAAGTTTTATCTGAAACAGGACCGTTGCTTTTTGACCCCACTTCTGATGTAAGCATTAGGGACAACATAGCTCCCTTATAAAGCATTTTTGACCATATCTTCTTGGGAAGTTTTTTCCATATTTTGGGCTGTATAATCACCCCTTACAATTTTTGAATGAAATTCGGACATATCCCACTTCTGATGTAAACATTAAGGCAACGTAGCTCCCTTATAAAGCATGTTAGACACTATCTTCTTGGAAACTTTTTTCATATTTTTCGATGTAGAATCAATCCTTAAAATTTTTGGTCGAAAAACGACGGTCAGGTTTTAAAATTAAAAACTAAATATCTTATTAATCGTAAACACATATATTTAGAGTGAAATAACAACAGAAAGCTTGTCAAAAATTTTGGGGCTAACCGTTAAACGCATGGATTTATGTAGGAGATATGAAGAGGCTATGAAAAAAACTCTCCTTTTAGAAGGCAACATAACAAATATCTGGGAAAAAATTGCCGAAATATTTTACGAAAACTGTAGCGTTCAACTGGCTTGCAACCAAATATATAAACATATATGTACTCGAAAAAAGGTTGGTTATGTTATGTTATTGTTTTGTTTTAATAAAACGTAACATTTTTAGGTTACATTGGACTTGGAGCCCAATGAGTATGAAAATAAATTTATACACATAAAAGATCAGTTGTATATTCTGCAAATTTTAACACAGAACAATCCTTTACTGTTTAAAGACCGCAACATTAGTTCCAACTAAATTTTTAAGAAGAACTTTTTGTAAATTAATATAAATCTTATTAAAATTGAATTTTGACTTTTTTTGCATAAAAATACGCTATCTGTCATTTTAGGGCGGCAGCCATATTGGATTTATTAATTTCCGTCTCTTTCTTATTCATCTTACTTATTTAATTTATTCAAAACACACAGTTTATTATGCTAATTTTTATTAATAATTAAAAGTGAAATAATGTAAAAAAAAATAAAAAAAAAATTTATTTTATTGACCAGGGCCGCTTAAACTTTTATCCATGAACTTCTTTTTGGCAAAACACAACCACCACTTGCTGGGTTTGCCATCCTCACCGAAAACTCTATCTAGCACACGTAATCCCACTTCTTGCCGTAACTGGGTCAAGTAGCTCTTCAAGAAATCTGCATCTGTAGAACTGGCTGGTTTCCCGTAAACAGAGTTTAAAGGGAACCCAGCGTCTCCTAAAATACAAACTATTTAATACAATTCATTAATAATTAAGTAAAATTAATTACCTGGTAGATCAAATCTAGATATAGCAAGAGAATACATTTCATTCTGAGCCTGACTCTTATTACTACATCTCTGCAATTTCTTCAAACATTCTGTAATGTATAGAGTAATGTATATCAATAAACGATCCGATTCAGACTGAAATAAAACAATTAAAATCAATTAAAAGTAAAACAAACACTTCCAAACTCACTTTGATTTCATAGGTCCTAAAAAATACATTAGCCTTAAAATAATACAATGTCTCGTCAATTATATCTTGCTCTTCTGAAGTAAATGGAGGCGCAGGCCCTCTAATTTTAGTTCTAAAAGGTAGTATGGCTGTGTTTCCTATTATTTGAGTCGGCTCCAAAAAACTCGAATGATAGGCCTGTGGATAATAATACTTTTAATAGACACACCCAAATATTAAATGTGTAATATTGGCACTTACCGGCATGTTATTGTTACTTTAAATAGCACGCGAAAAATATAAAAAAGGTTGTTTATCAAGTTATTTTAAATTAATGTTATTTACGTAGAAAAAGATTATATTTTTTACGACAACATAACCTCACTAAAGGTTTATTTGTCATAAAGCACGGATGCCAACCATGTTGATCATGGTCGCCAACATTGCCATTTTATTTAATTATTAATAATTATTATAATCTGAATACGATAAAAAATAAAAGAAGTATGACGCCTTATAAACAAAAAAGTTATAAATGTAACTTAAATTGGAAGATATTTTTACTTACTTTAACTTTTTCTTCAACTGGTTCCATTATGTTTTTAACAATAAAATAATCAACTGAACTGAATTAAAAAAATAAACTAAAGCAATAAACGAGAATGACAAATGCATTTAATATTAGAACTGATAGGGTTTCCGCTACAACTTTTATCAATATTAGAGATAAAGTATGTATGAATCATTTTATGACAATTAAAACAAAATAATGTTAATTTCTGGTTTATATATTTTAATTTCTGTAAATTTACCTTAAAGTAGTCCCACAAAAGAAGAAATATCTTGAAAACTGTTTGTTGTAGAGATTTTTTTGAGATAGTAATTTTTAGAGGATTTATCTGGCTATATTTTGATGTTTTACTTTTATCTGTGGGGTTTATATTAACAGAGTTATTGTAGAAAATGTAGTTAATAAATAAATAAAAAAGCTTGGCTTATATAAAATTTATGTACCTAATTTACATAATTATTTATAAAATCTAGTTTGGATTTGGTTCAAAATGAGGCCACTTTTTTATTATATCAAACAATGTTTGTCCAGGGCATTCAGTACTTTTTCCTTGCCTATGTCCAATCAATTTATATTGGGGGGATATTTTTCCAAGTTCCACTCCACAAGAAACTAAATTTTGTACTGTTTCAAGTTGTTTTTCTGATGGAGAAGACCCTGAAAAGACAATTTTTTTATTTAGTACTTACTTATCTATTGTTCAAAATACTTACTTTGAAAGTTCCCTAAAAAACAAATTCCAATGCTTCTGGCGTTGTAAGCTGGAACGTGGGCCCCATGAATGCCCCAACCTCTGCCTTCATATACATTTCCGTCGTCCCCAACCTAAATAATTAATTATCAAAATTAAATTATCATTATTATTATTTATTAACAACAGGCAATGTGGCAACTTCTCTTTAGTGCCAACTTGATATATTATATTATTATAGGCAACCCATTATACAACCAGTTGCCTATACTCACCAAGAAATTATATCCTATATCTTTAAACCCTTTGCTACTAATATGATAGTCCTGAATACTTTTAACAGTAGATTTGCAGGTGCTGTCAGTACGACATTCAGGACCTGCAGAATGATGTATGACAATGTAGGGGGGTGGATTAAATTTCAAGTATCTTTGACTTAAGGCACTTCTTGCTCCCCATTGCGATCTTGATACAATATTGGGGCATTTACCTGTAAAAAAATAAGTGGTTGAGTTATTTTAAGTTATTCACAAACTCTTCTTTTATTTGAATGTATATTTACCAAATGTCTAATTAATTTAAAAAATATATTAATTTTGTTTACTTAATAGGTAAAATTGTCAATAGTTAATACAGTTACTACAAAAAATAATACAATTTGTATATAATTAACAAAGTTATAAACAAATTTAGCAATGATACTTCTCACCGCTGCTTACGGACAAGCGCTAAGTATATGTATAATATACATTGTATATATATCACTGAACTATAGTTGTATAGTTCAGTGATATATATATATATATTTTTTGAATATACGAGTATACTCGTATATTCAGAAAGTAAATATACTATCCCATAAATATCCAATGGTAATTATATGCTGTCGGAGATAATATTTAAATAATGATATAAATGTTACTCACATTTAATAAAGTATGGAAAAACAATTAATAATATCAACACAAAACCGTGGAATTTCAAGTAATAACTGGCCATGTTTGTTAGTGTACTTTCAAATGAATTAAGTTATCTTTACATTTCTTATTTATACTTCTACCAATCTTATATTTATAAAGCAGTACTTCCCCTTTAATTTGACGCTGATCTAATGATGAAAAATAAAGTAATTACCCGATTAATATATTTATATAATACATTGATATAAATGTTTGATTATTTTAAATAAAAACTTGACTCGGAAAAAAGGGCAATGGAGGCATATTTCCAGGGCAAACTCAATTAATGTTATAAATTCATTTGGTTAAACAATATTTTTCAACATGTGATTTGTATTAAATAAGGAAGCCATCTAAAGGAAAAGCTCTTATAATATTAAAATTTACACAGGAACTTGTATGTTTTCAGACTGGAATCACTATTTCCAATAGACGGAAAATGTGTAATAGAGAATGTTTTAAATTGTTTGTAAAATTCTTAGGGGTGCAATAAATTGTGGATATATAAGTATTTTTGTAATAAAAAAATTGAATTTGTTTAAAGTTTAATTTTAAAGGTAAGTCGGATGTTAATTTAAATGTTGATGTTAATAGTATTTTACACTAATAATTATTATCTCATTCTTGTGCTTCTTCTTTGACTTTTATTTTCCTTCCACTTCAAACTTTATACTGTATAGAAAAACTAAAAAAATAGATTAATTTTTCTTAGATATGGATTTAAATTCAAAGAGACTAGATGATGAAGAATTATCAGAAATCGAAAATTTTAGAAGTTCCAATTCAAGTTACTCTATAAGCGGATTATTGAACAGTTTGACAACGGAAAAAGATGAACAAAGGGAAAAGTATGGAGGTAGGTGTAATTAATATACAGGGTGTTTCACATCTGGAATTCTGTGGGTAATTTATTTTATAAACACAATTTAGAATGTCATAAATACTTAGAATGTCAAACTTACTATAGAAAGTCAAAAACACATTTTAGAATGTCAGACGCACTTTAGAATTACAAAAACATATTTACCTACGAGTATAATGTCATATACTTTAAAATGTCAAAAACACATTTTAGAATGTCAAACATACTTTCAAATCTCAGTAACATTTTTTAGAATGTCAAAAACACATTTATAAATGATGTCATAAATACTTTGGAATGTCAAAAACACTTTTTGGAGTGCCACACATACTTTAGAATGTCTAAACACATTTTAGAAAGTCAAAAACATTTTAGAAAGTCAAAACACATTTTAGAATGTCATAAATACTTTAGAATCTCAATAACACTTTTTAGAATGTCATAGATACTTTAGAATGTCAAAAACACATTTTAGAATGTCATACTTACTTTAGAATGTCAAGAACAAATTTTAGAATGTCAAAAACACATTTTAGAATGTCAAAAACACTTTTTGTAGTGTCAGACATACTTTAGAATGTCAAAAACACATTTTAGAATGTCATACTTACTTTAGAAACTTAAGAACACTTTTTAGAATGTTAGACATACTTTAGAATGTCATACTTTAGAATGTCAAAAACACATTTTAGAATGTCAAACATACTTTCAAATCTCAGTAACATTTTTTAGAATGTCAAAAACACATTTATAAATAATGTCATAAATACTTTGGAATGTCAAAAACACTTTTTGGAGTGCCACACATACTTTAGAGTGTCTAAACACATTTTAGAAAGTCAAAAACATTTTAGAATGTCATAAATACTTTAGAATCTCAATAACACTTTTTAGAATGTCATAGATACTTTAGAATGTCAAAAACACATTTAAGAATGTCAAAACACTTTTTGGAGTGTCAGACATACTTTAGAATGTCAAAAACACATTTTAGAATGTCACACTTACTTTAGAATCTTAAGAACACTTTTTAGAATGGTAGACACACTTAAGTGTTAATTAAGACTTTTTGGAGTGCCAGACATACTTTTTTATAAAAATAAAACTTACCTATAGGTATAACTTAACACACACAAACTTCGTTTAGCTTTTAAAATGAGACTGGTACATATGTTTTGAGAATGAATATTAAATTATCACTTCAAATTTAATTATACCTGCAAACTTACTATTAAATTAGAGTGTTGTAATTCAATTTTAAATTTTACTTAATTAGATTTGCTTTTTTTAATCTGCTATGCGTTCCCAATAATGGTAATATGATTACCAGCAAAATTACTACATAATAGTTCAGGTTTATAAAACTGCAATATTAAGACCTTCTAGATTACCCTGAGTCTATTCAAAATTACAACTCGAATGATGAGTGTTCTACTTCAAATGTCTCATCTAGCTCCAAGAGAAAACAACGGCGTTATAGGTGATTTAAAGTGGATATTTTTCATCTATAGATTAAATAAATTCGGTGTTCAAATTTTAGAACAACGTTCTCGAATTATCAACTGGATGAACTGGAAAGAGCCTTTCATAAGACACACTATCCCGATGTGTTTTTTAGGGAAGAGTTAGCTTTAAGAATTGATCTCACGGAAGCTAGAGTCCAGGTAAGACTTGATTACTACAAAAAGATCTTTCTATTTTACTTTAGAATCTCAAGAACACTTTTTAGAATGTCAAAAACACATTTATAATGTCATACATACTTTAGAACGTCAAAAACACTTTTTGGAGTGTCAAAAACATTTTTATAATGTCATAGATACTTTGGAACATCAAAAACACTTTTTGGAGTGCCAGACATACTTTAAAATGCCAAAACACATTTTAGAGTGTCATACATACTTTCAAATTTTAGGAACACTTTTTAGAATGTCAAAATTTATGTCATAGATACTTTAAAATTTTAAAAATACTTTTTGGAGGCAGACACACTTTAGAATCTCAATAACACTTTTTAGAATGTCATAGATACTTTAGAATGTCAAAAACACATTTTAGAATGTCATACTTACTTTAGAATGTCAAGAACACATTTTAGAATGTCAAAAACACATTTTAGAATGTCAAAAACACTTTTTGGAGTGTCAGAAATACTTTAGAATGTCAAAACACAATTTAGAATGTCATAAATACTTTAGAATCTCAAGAAGACTTTTTAGAATGTCAAAAACACTTTTATAATGTCATAGATGCTTTGGAATGTCAAAAAGACTTTTTCGACTGTCAAAACATATTGTATAATGTAATAAATACTTAGAATGTCAAAAACACATTTTAGAATGTCAAACTTACTATAGAATGTCAAAAACACATTTAAGAATGTCAGACGCACTTTAGAATTACAAAAACATATTTATCTACTTCTACATTGACGTGCTGTGACTTTATCGCGTTTTAGTCACGAGCTGAAGTTAGTAATAATGGCTTTTGGGCATTTTAGTCACGGGCTGAAGTTAGCTTTATTATAAATTAGAGAAAAAGTGAGGTTAATTCCGTTGACATTTGACAGATTGGATTTAAATTCTTCTTTGTGGTCTTCGTAGATAAAGTATAGTAAAACTCGTTTTATAAACTTATCTAGACACTCGTTTTTATTAAACACTCGCTTGCAAGCTTCGCTCGTGCTTAATAAACCTCGTAACTAAAACTTGATACATAATTATGTATATAAAGTATATGACATTATACTCGTAGGTAATAGTATATTAATATACTATTACCTACGAGTATAATGTCATATACTTTAAAATGTCAAAAACACATTTTAGAATGTCAAACATACTTTCAAATCTCAGTAACATTTTTTAGAATGTCAAAAACACATTTATAAATAATGTCATAGATACTTTGAAATGTCAAAAACACTTTTTGGAGTGCCACACATACTTTAGAAAGTCTAAACACATTTTAGGAAGTCAAAAACATTTTAGAAAGTCAAAACACATTTTAGAATGTCATAAATACTTTGGAATCTCAATAACACTTTTTAGAATGTCATAGATACTTTAGAATGTCAAAACCACATTTTAGAATGTCATACTTACTTTAGAATGTCAAGAACACATTTTAGAATGTCAAAAACACTTTTTGGAGTGTCAGACATACTTTAGAATGTCAAAAACACATTTTAGAATGTCAAAAACACATTTTAGAATGTCAGACAAACTTTAGAATGTCATAAATATTTTTGAATGCCAAAAACACTTTTTGGAGTGTCAGACATACTTTTGAGTTTCAGACTTACTTTAGAATCTCAAAAAGATATTTTAGAATGTCATACACACTATAGAATATTAAATATTCAGACATACTTTATATTGTCAAAAACACATTTTAGATTGTTATAAATACTTTAGAATGTTTAGAATGTCAGACATACTTTAGAATGTCAAAACTTTCGAAAATACCGACTAGTGTTTAACAAAAAAATTCTAAATAGGTATGGTTTCAAAATCGACGAGCTAAGTGGAGAAAACAGGAAAAAAGTCTTAACAAAAATATTTCTACAACTACAATTAATTTACCTATATCTTTACCAGGTACACATTAATATTAATTTTAATAAACAAAACAATACATACCTTAATTGTTGTAGCCTGTTCGACACCCCTGGAAAGCCCACTATTGAACTTTTCCAGCAGTGAGCAAACTTCATCAAGCCTATTCCTGGGACTGGAGTGGCCAAACATGACGTCACCAATTCCCTTCACCACCCACTCGATCAATATCGACAACCAAAACATGGAAATCAACGAAACGGACCGTCTCAACGAGACGATCCTGATAGCGGACCGTATCACCAACTCAATAAACACCAACCTGAACATTGGTGACAATATTCTGCTCAGCGACGATCTCCAAAACAGAATGGAAATGGAAATGGCCAATTCACACGACGATATCGATATCGACTCAGATCTGTTGACGTTAAAGCCACCCAACAGGAAAATTGTTAACAATGATTAAGGATTCTTTGAATTACTTAAGTAATAATTATTACCACTGTTGAAATAAAAGTTATTAATTTACCTGGTTTTATTTAATAAACTCACAAGAACTATAATTTCACACATACTTTAAAATGTCAAAGACACTTTTTGGAGTGTCAGACATACTTTAGACATTTTAGACG